ACTGAGTGGATTGACAGCCCCAGGGTGTGCCAGGAGTGTTCAGGAACTGGAATGACAGGGCCACGGAGTGGAATGACAACCCCAGGGTGGACCAGGACTGTTCAGGAACTGGAATGACAGGCCACTGAGTGGATTGACAGCCCCAGGGTGTGCCAGGAGTGTTCAGGAACTGGAATGACAGGGCCACGGAGTGGAATGACAACCCCAGGGTGGACCAGGACTGTTCAGGAACTGGAATGACAGGCCACTGAGTGGATTGACAGCCCCAGGGTGGATCAGGACTGTTCAGGAACTGGAATGAGTGGGTCACGGAGTGGAATGACAGCCCCAGGGTTTGAATGAAGAGGCCCACCATCACTCAAGTTTGTGAATGGGTGAAAATATCATGGGACTCAGTGAAGGAGGAGATTGTTGTACAGTCATTCCAAAATGTGGCATTAGCAATGGCTTAGATGGAAGTGAAAATGATATCTTATATGAAGACAGCGAAGAAAGTGATGTCAGTGATTGTGAGCAAATGAGCTTCATAAATTCTGACTCTAGCGATGATGAGTTCTTGGGGTTTCCAGAAAACTAGAGTACTCAAACCTATAAGTCTCTCCATTTGTTAATGACAGTGATAATGGTTCTTAATGCCACTGTTGACTGCTGTTCACTTTACATGGTTCAAATGTTATTCTGTTATAGTTTATTAAATATTTTATTACAGTATTTGGTTCAGAATATTTTTTTTCCTGTTTTCCTCCTCTAAATACTAGGTGCGTCTTATGGTCAGGTGCGTCTTATGGTCCGAAAAATACGGTAATTCCTGTTCTGTCAGGTAGCCCTGGGTTGCTATCATGACCCACCAAGCCTGCCTAAATTGGAAAACCTCAAAGGAAGAGCAGAATCAGGCACCCAAGCAAATTGTTCAGGTGAGCCCCAGTCACATGTATAATGTGAGCCGGACTGCAAAAACCTTGACCCAATCTGTGTTACACATCTCACGTAATGAGGGCCTATTGAGGTGCTCTCTTCCTTCTTCAACCTTGTCATAACAAGATAGTCAAGACAATCCTATGGTTGAACTATTGTTGGGCGGCCAGTCTGACTCTAAACCAGAAGATCTGGACCAGGTGTTACAAGCCGTGGCTGGATGGCTTAGACTGAGCTGACTAAAATGGAATCTGATGAAGATGGAGGTCCTGTGCCTGAGCCAGGGTGGGCCGAGGGTAGGGATCCCACTCCCGACCTTTGATGGAGCTCTGTTGGTGCCAGCGCCGGAGGTTAAGAGTTTGGGAGTGCTCCTGGATGCTTCTGTAGCAGCCACTGCCAAGTCAGCTTTTTACCATCTTCAGCTGATCAGGCAGTTGGTTCCCTTCCTGGAACACAATGACTTGGCAACAGTGACTACTGTAATGCTCTCTACATGGGGCCACCCTTTTCTCAAATCTGGAAGCTACAACTAATGCAAAATGCTGCGGCCAGGCTTTTGATGGGTCTCCCTATGCAGGAGCACATCCAGCCTGTGCTGGAAGCACTGCACTGGCTGCCAATAACATACTGAATTCACTTCCATGTGCTGGTTCCTACCTTTAAAGCCCTTTATGGTCTGGGGTCTACATACCTGAGGGACCCCCTTTCTCCACATGTTCCCCAAAAAGCACTGCAGTCATGGTCCCAAAATTAACTGGCCCTCCCAGGTCCCAAAGACATCAGGTTGGCCATGGCCATGGCCATGGCCTTCTTGGTGGCGGCCAGGGCTCTTTTTGTAGAAAAAGCCCAGCAGGAACTCATTAGCATAATAGGCCACACCCAACATCAGGAACTCATTAGCATATTGGGCCACACCCCTGATAGCACAGTTCATTAGCACATTAGGCCGTACCCCCATGTTACCAGAAGTGTGGTTATCCAGCCACACCCACCTTTTGCTTGTTATTCTGTTTACCTTGTTTGTTGTCAAAACCCAGGGCTTTTTTGTAGCAGGAACTCCTTTGCATGTTAGGCCACACACCCCTAATGCAGCCAATCCTAATGAGTTTCTGCTGTTGGGTGTGGCCTATTATGCTAATGAGTTCCTGCTGGGCGTGGCCAACTTGGAAGCCAGCCAGAACTCGGTTCCTGTGCGTTTTTGCCCAAAAATAGCCCTGGTGGCGGCTCTGTACTGGTGGAATGAGCTCCCAGAAGAGATCAGGGCCCTGCAGGACCTTATGCAGTTCCAAAGGGCCTACAAGACAGAGCTCTTCCACCAGACCTTCAACTAAGGAGCCACCCCCAATTATTGAAAGGTAGAGAGCCCTGTTTTCCAGAGCTACCATCAACAGCCTGTGCCTGCCACATAAATAAAGAGATCATGGAGCTGACCAACACAATAGACCACCGAATTGTTGTCGCCATCGCTAACAACATTATTACTATCAGACCTAATGTTTACTAGCACTTTATGATACTGGATTGTTTTAGAAGGTTTTTATAATTGTTATTTATGTGTTTTAATCCTTAATGTAAACCGCCCTAAGCCTGCTCTGGCAGGGAGGGCAGGGTATAAATTTGATAAATAAATAAAAACTTAACATGCAACAGGAGATTTTCTACCTCTCCTTTCCTCCAGTAGTCCCCTGCACACCCAGAAATTGTCTGCTAAGGGTCAGGGATTTTCACGGACAAATGAGCACTGGGAGCTGCTGAAAAGAAGGGGAATTGTGCAAAATTGTTCTCCATTGCTCCAGTATGAGCTCAGTAAAGGTTCTGCAACAATTGTGCCCAATTCCCTCCTACTCACTGCAGCCCCTAATGCCACACAGCACTTTGTCCATGAAAGGCTCCCATCTCTCTGCAAAAGGTTTTCGGGCACACAAGAGGATTCTGGCAAAAAAAAAGGTAGCAAGAAGTTCTAATTATGCAAGCTGGAGGGGGGGCAACATGAATCACAACCATTTTTCCTGATCACCCATTTGGCAACTCACTACTGTCATTCAGTTTTTGAAAAATCTCCCTCCCTATTCTAAACGTTCTACAGCATTATCACTCACAATCAAGATCAAAAGAGAGATTCTTGCTGCACACCTGAAACAACCATCTGAAAGGGATGCCTTCTCCTTGACACTGATTCATCAACAAAAACTTACCACTCATAGTTGACAGCAGATGTTAAAGAAGCAGATTTCTAAGCCCTGCAATGGCATCAGCAGTTCCTAGCTCTCCATTTTATTGGCTATGATGGGTGGTGAAGGCACCATGGCTATTACTAAAACCGCCATTAAACTATACAAGTTCCACAACAGTGCTGGGGCAGCAACTCCTGCCCTTACCCTTGGTCCACTCTTGAGGGCTATTCCAAAGAGGTACTCTGTTTTGGTACTTTCCTTTGGCAACTGCCTGCAAAAAGGGGGATCTTCCATAGCCAATGAAAAAGGTTTGTTTAAGAAGGAAATATAAATGCAGTCAGTTAGTAGATACCTACCAGCATAACCACTCAAATAGTGACCTTTTTCTAAAAGGCATGGCCTTACCTTTAATGCCTCTTTCTCTTTTTCTATCCTCTGGTGATCCAAATGCACTTTCACGAGGGCTGCCTCCTTAGCAGTGATCTCTTCTTTCAGCTGATCCACCTGATGTGTCATAATCTTCAGCTTCTTTCGCATTTCAGTGATCTCATCCTAATGGGAATGAATTAAACAATTTCTACTGGTGTGTAAACAGGGTCTAAAGGCAGCAGCGGATATAAAGCCTAGAACTGTGACACTACAGCCACAGGACCCATCACCACCATGGGACAGGTCATTCTGGCAAAAGGAGGAAAAGGTTTACCAAAGGCAAAAGGTTATTTGGGTAACTTGTATAGGCTTGACCTATGTGCCCCACAGCTGCACCCTCAACTGCTTCATATCCTGCAGCCACTACAGACCAGCCCCCTCCAGATCCAGGAGCTGCCGCAGAGGAGATACAACCGGAGGGTCTCGAGAAAACCAGGACCAGAGCGACCGTTGACAGCTAAGTGCCTGCATCACGAAAACCCTACCTTATGGCTACCTAGCAACCTTCCTGACCCCTTGGAAACCTACAACTGCCTTTTCCCGCTTTAAGCGCAGTTATACTGAGATCGATGGGATTGTTTTTTACCGGTGAATCTATTGCCCTGGCTGCCTTTCTGGTCAGGGTCCCTGCCCTGGCTGCCATCAACTCTGAGAACTTAGATGGCCCTTGTTTTTAGACTAGCCCATTTGCTAAATAACACTTTCCAGGTTTTGGAGAGTATGCTGTCTGATCTGCATAATACTGAAAAAGCTACCATCCAGAATACAATGGCTACAGACTACCTGCTGCTCAAGGCAGGACATAACTGTGCTGAATTTGAGGACATGTGTTGTTTCAACCTGAGTGATCATTCAGCTTCCATTCAACAAAATATCAAGAATATCTAAAATATTTCAAAAGAAATTATATTTTCTCACGGGTGGGGGAGATTGGTTTGGGAGTTGGTTTATTGGTCTGGGATTTATTGTTTATACTGTTTTAACGTCTGTTCTGGTGAAAATTTTATTGATCTTTTGGATTTGTTTCTGCATACAGTGTACACCCACCATAATAGCTTGTTGTGCTTCTGCAGTCCCCATAACCCCCAGCTCAAGAGTTGAACAATGACGGTTGCCAGGCATTGGGCTAAGAATCCTGAGTACTCAGTTCCAGTGAACACTGCTCTTGATGGTGGCAAGGAGCCTTAGGGTGGTCATTTCACCAAGATGAGGGATTGTAGGACAAGGGAAAAATGAATGTGATTTCTGAATGTGGGGTCTGACATTTCCTCTGACATGTTCACATATTGACAGCTGTCACTATGCTTTCAAAAGTTTAATTAGATCCAGATCTTGGTATGTAACCTAGAATGTTCTGATTAGAGAAGCTTATAGTAGAATATATACTGCACTTTTTTATATGAAGCTATATATTAAGGAAAAGCATTATTAGAGGCCTCTGAGGACAGAATTAGGCTGCAATGAGAATGGAATGCATATTCAAGAAGCTGCAAGGACCTCAAGAGCAAAGCTGAATGTGAATTACAACTCTTATCACCCAGCTCCCCAGAAATAAGGGAAAGTGAAAGAGGGACTAGCTTCACTACAGTAAGAAAGGTTCTCAGTGTTCTCTAAGGTTCTCATTGTCCTGGAAAACAGATAAACAAATGTAATCACTGAACATATACGACCAGCATAAAGAGAGACCAATAGCAAGGTTTAAAGTCAAATGATGTTTCCATGATGTTAACTGCTTGGTGCCAATTAGAGATTCTTTAATGTATAAACTATACGTGATGTCATTTGGGGTATAAGACCTTCTGCCCTTCCTGGTTATGGCATAATACAGTTTTGGAATTGCTAGGTGCTAAGGCACTCTGCTCTGTATTCCCTGTTTCAATGCATTAAACAGATATTCATCTAACTCGTTGGACTCTGTGTGTTTCCAATTCGGCACGGGAGCATGCAGGCACAGATTTGTGCATTATTAGTGACTTCCATTGGGTACCCCATGTTCAAAAATTGTGCTCACTCCATTTCCTAATGATCAGGTGACAGATGGCAGCTTGAATAAGCACTTCATGTTCTACTGGAATTGTCCAAAAAGGTACTGTGGTTGCTTGGTTGAGATCTGAGAACCATGGTCTCCTGAGCCAATAAGGAGTCACACAGATCATATTTACTCTCTCCATCCTTAATTTCTTGATGAATCTGGCAATCAGGATAATCACAGCAGACCCCTTGGCCTCAGTGCTGACAGGACATCTACCTGCTCCACTCCTGGGCACTGGAACCAGGAGAAGAATCTCTGAGCCTTTGTATTCTGCAGGGATACAAAGAGATCCATGAGAGGGTTACCAAATCTCTTTGCAAACCTCTTGGAGTACCTGGTCCTTGAGAGACCATTCCCTTTGATCAATAGTTCGGTGACTGAGCTAGTCAGCTTGGACATTCAGGGTTGTTTGTATGTGTTCTACACTAACTGAAAACAGGTGTTTCTCCATCTAAGAGTAAAGATTCTTGATAAGACCCATGGACATGGTCCCTCCCTTCCTATCTGTTCATATTATCTGGATCATCTGTTGAATCTGGAAGGTTTGGGGGCAAACATGAACTTATGAGCTTCAAACAGTGCCTCTGACCTCCCAGTCCTAAGAAAATGGAACCATGCTGGATGGTCCACAAACACAGCGGTGTTTGCTTGGCATCAACTGCATTGGGAGATAAAGAGAAAGACTGCTACTGCTGAGTTGACTGCGTGAAAAAGGATGAAGTGGAAGGCTCACTGAATCCTCTGTTTCTATTTCACAGTCATCTGGATTCTTGAGAATGAAAGGTGCCCTGCTGGAAATGAAAGAACTAGAATGCTTGATTTTGAAGCTAGTGGTCCTCCTGAGAATGACCTGCTTCTTTCCTTTACTTTGTAATCAGTTATTCTTAAGGTTATCTCTAAAAATCATGGTCCCAAGATAACCAGATAAGATGTTCAGAATCTGTCCACATACAAGCACCTTAGCCACAGGCTGTGTCTGGTTACCACCCCAGTGGTCATGCTTATGAAGAGAATCTAAAAGTCTGAATAGGCATCAGCAATGAAGGAAGCTGATTTTGCCAGCATTTGAAGCCTCTCCTTTGGCTCTGATTTGCCTTCTAGAACATTTTGCAGATGCTTCTGACCTCAATAATAGGAGACTCTTATGAACACAGATGTGACCACAGACACTCTAATAAACATGGTGATGACCAGTGTTCCCTCTAAGCTACATTAGTGTGAGCTAGCTCACAGTTTTTTAGCCTCCAGCTCACACATTTTTGTCTTAGCTCAGGAAGGATGGCTCCAGAGCAAACTAATTTATGCAGTAGCCAGAGATCGCTCGGTCACAACTTTAATGCCAGTAGCTCACAAAGTAGAATTTTTGCTCACAAGGCATAGAGCTCACATAGAGCTCTATACCTACAAAATGCACGTAAAGAAGAATCCCACAAAAAGGATGGAAATTTAAGGAATCCGTTTACCATCATAAAAATCTACTATCTGTTGGGAAAAATAATAAGAATGCAGCAAATGAAGAGACTATGGCAGGATTACAGCCTTCTCAAACTTACCTTTCAGCTTTCTGACACTGATATATCTCCTCTACCGCAATCTCACAAACAAGAAAACCACAGTAAATAAGGTGCTGTTTGCCTGAAAATGGCATGGAAAATTCTGGGATGAGCTCTCCACTCTAAATAGCAATACCAAGTTACTGTTAGAAAGCAGATGTAGAAGCAAAAGATTCACTTGGTGAATCCCTGTTTGTCGTGAATTCAGTCAAAGACGTAGAGGCTGGGGTGCAGGGAGCTGGCAGTTCTGAACAGTACTCTAGTAGCGTCAGGATATAAGACAACTACAAAGCAAGAACTCTGGTTCTCACTCAGGTAAATGCATCTGACAAAAAAAATGACCCTTGGAACTTAAACTTGTCAGGTTGATACACACACCATCACTCACATGAGAGCAACAGGAAAAAAGTGAATGTAATTTTTCTAGATGGCTTACAAAAGCTCAGGAAGGAAGCCAGCTACTTTAGAAGTGTTACATACACATCTTTCCGGATATACTTCTTTACTAATGAAAAAAGAAATGTCTCCATGAATTTTGAAACAGCTAGGTTATGTTCAGTTAAATTAACAACCTTCTGGATTCCCAGGACCAGAAAGATACAAAAGCCTAACACCATCCTAGAAAATAATTCTTATGAAATGCAACCAAGAACTCCTTTATCAAAAGATTTCACTTCATCTGAGCTTACGACACCCTGGAGATCAGAAACAGTCTGTGCAGGGCAGGGCAACGGGGGACCTTGACTTGTTAAATAATCTGAAAATGCTATCAAGAGCTTTTCTCCCTCAAACAAGAGTCTGCCAATTTAAGCCTTCCTCTCAAGGGATGCTAATTTTGCATAATTTTTAAGATGAGACAATCTTTGTTTTCATGGCTGGCAGGCTTGTTACTGAACTATGAATGTCTGTTTTATTGCTATAGTATAGTTTGATTATAATAAAAAGGAATGCTTTAACCTCAGATGTCTTCTCATGCTACTGAATTTTGCAGTTAATGCACATAGTAAATAAAACAATCCATTTATATAGTAAGCAAATGTACAGCAGAAAGGTTCCTCAGACCCCCCTCCCATGTCTGCCACTTACTTGCGCCTAACATCTTGTTGTGGACTGGCCAAGCTCAGCAGAATAAAGAGATGCTGAAGACTCCTCTGAGGAGGAGGTAGCTAGCGGACCTGACCCCAACCCACAGCCAGAGGTGGAGGCACCATAGTCTCTGAGGGGCCAGATATAGGCTGTGATCACACTGGCGGCTTGGCGTGATATGGTGCTGCCTCTAATTGAACCGGGTTAAAGTGTAGTGGGATATATCAGCCACACAGCACACCCTGCTGTGGATTACCCACGGAGACATCCCATGGTAATGCATCCACATTATTGTGGCACCTCAGCCACGGAGCGAACTGCATGCGCACATAGGAAATTCTTTTTTAAAAAATGCCTCCATAGCGGCGGAATGGATCTGCAGGTTCACACTGCGAAATCCATTCTGTGCGCGCTCCCCCAAAGAATGCACGGGGAATCAAAAACACCACTTTGGAGGTGGTGGCTTTTTAACCCGGCTCCAAGTCGTCCTCTGACAGGGTGAGTAGGCCCGGGGAATGCCTGACAGATGTGGCTGTGTGATCGTGCCCGTTTAATCCATTTGTAAAATGTGCCTATATCGGGCCAAACTGCCAGTCTGAACACAACTATAGATTCTCAGCCAGGTACCAGTGCACTGGCCCCTCAGCCCCCCAGGCCTGAGCGGGCAACAGAGAGTTCACCCCCTCCCCTCCACCAGAGCCTCAGGAATGTCATAGGAGGAAGATGAGGAAACACCTTCAGGGCAGAAGGTGCAATGCCCACTTAGCAGTGCAGCACCACCCCAACACCAACAATGTGGATGAGAGCTTTAGGCTTGCCAAGCCCCCGCTGGGGGCGGGTAAATTCCCGCTCGGGAGGCCCGTTCCCCGCCGCCGGTGGATCGGGCCCCGGGGGGAACTTCACCCCCTGCCGGAGGGCGTCCCCAGCGTGATGATGTCACCCAGAGGTGACATCATCACGCTGGCCACGTTGTGGGGGGGACACTCTGTGAATCGAGGGAAAACTCTATGGTTTTCCCTCGAGTCACGGTGCCCTGCCCCCAACGTGGGTGACGCAATGACGTCACTTCCGGTGACGACATTGTGGCGCACGCGTGGGGAGACTCCCGACGGAGCCAGGAATCCCTCCGCTTTGCAAGTAAGTCGACTTGGCAACCCTAGAGTGCTTGCAGGAGCAGGTCTGAGGCAGCCAGCAGATGCATAGCTCAGTACAGGCTGCTGAGCATCATAGTGATTAAAAGCAGCAGAGAAGGGAATGGTTGTGTGGAAGCAACTTGTTAATGACTGACTTTGCTGCTTGTGGTCTGGATTGACTTCTTTGTCTCTGACCCTGGCCTGTACCTTTGTATCCTTGTTCTTGGATTTCCCTTTGGACTTGAAGCTGTGGGTGTTGTCTACCCTGTGCCTGAACCTTGGAACTGTATTTTGATGTCTGGCCCTGGAATTGCTTTACAAACTCTGATGCCTAGAAACTGCCTCTGTGTGCCAGCAATCAGGACACATCCTAAGATCTCAAGGTATTTGCTAATTACTGCAATAATATTTTAACACAACTGAGTGTGGTAAACTGCCACATGTATCCCAAGAAAATATATCTCCGCTAAACTAATGATGTCATACACTAATTGTCTTGTTCCAATGCTATTTTGGAATAAATTGGCCCATACAGAATGATATCATAACAGGGTGGATAAAAATATTTTTAAATAAGTAAAAAAAAAAGATTTAAAAAAATTTAAATCAGATTTTTAATAAAATGCTTTTTGAGGAAAAATCTATCTAAAAATAGTTTTATATTTAAGATATATTATAGTCCAAAGGTTATTCATCATGAAATAAGGATTTGTTTTTAATTATGCCGCTTGAGGCTGTATATTCATGCAATGTTTAAATTTTTTCATAAATGAATTCCATTAATCCATTCACAATGTCATGCTCTTCCAGAGATTCCTGTAAGATTTTTGGACAATTTTCTGTCTAGAAGATATTATCACAGATGCTTGGTTTTACAGTTCTCAATGTGTGCAGAGATCACATGCCTCTTCTTCACAGCAAAAATGTTATAAATAGACTTTCCAAGCCCCCGCTGGGGACGGGGGAACCCCCGCTTTCAATACCCCCTCCCCACTTTCGAAAAATCGGGCCCGGGGGGGGGGAATGGCGCCGGAAAGTGACGCTCTAGGATTTAAGTTCTCCAAGTCTCTATGGTTCTGAAAACCATAGAGAAGGGCCAGAGCATCAGTTTCCTGTTCCCTGGTGAGCGTGGACATCTGGTGCTTTCCTTTTTGTCTTTGTCCTCGTGGCATGGCCAGCAGTCTCTCTCTGAGCCTCACTGCCTATGCCTGGCCTTGCTGCAGGGATTCCTGAGCCCCCCCAGCCTAGTGTGATGTAAGTATCGGGGACTCTAAGGTTCTGGGTGGGGGGCATCCGGGCCCTTGCCTTGCCTCACCTCTACTCAGTTGAGGCGCCCAGGGAAGGGGGGGCTGGCTAAATCCCTTTCTTTCCTTCCCCGAGAATGTGGAAAGGACCATACTCAATGCTAGAGCATATCCCAAGGAAACTGGCAGAGAACATCCTGACCCCTGAAATCCCTCAGCAAATGCGGACCCCATCTCCAAACTATCACTCGCCTAATGTGCCTCATGATGTCCTTTCACCTTTCAAGAATTCATATGAGAAAACTATCTTGTGGGTGCCCCCTCAGAAACATCAATGAAGATATTTATGGAAACAGGCATTCTGGCTACAGTGGGTCATGTTTCTGATATAATTCTTTCCACATAAGGAGGGGAAATGTGGACAACATTGTGTCAGCATTCGCTTTTGTAATCTTTCTATTCCAAATGTTAACTGAATGATTGGCTCAACAAAAATACCTTGGAACAGAAATTAATTTCAGTACCTGTGCTTCAATTAGATTTTTGCTGTAGAGGTTTCTATCTGATCTCACAGCTTCATAGAGATTCTGCTGCTGTTTTAATTTTGTCTCAGACTCTGCTATCTGCTTCTTGTAGTCAAAGATCTGCATTTCCCGCACTTTGATATCTTCCATATGATGAAGGACCTGTTACGAAATCATAAAATTAGTGCGAAAAAATTCTCCTCTCATGATGGTCAGCAATACTCAATATATAAACGTATCTGCAGATACAAACATTTCATATAGAAAAGAGAATGGAAAATATTCTATCACAAATACAAAAACAGAATAAATATACAAACCAAGCTCAGAGAATTCAAGAAATGGCTGCTTTTATAACCATCAAACATATGAGGAGATGCAAATAAGTGTATGTGCACTTTGCAATGATTACAAGACATTAAAAGACTATATACCTCAATGAGAGGATTAAAAACAATCAAAATTATTTGCCTGATCAGGTCTTTATTGCCTATCATGATTTTTTGTTACTATTATATTTTTTAGGGAAAATAAGCATTTTCTGTTGCCATCAAGTCTCCAATTTGGAATATTTTCCTCTCTTCTCCTGAGAAGACCATAAAACAAGTTTCTCACCATTTTCAAGACAAAGGCCAAGAGAAATTTCATCAAACTAGCCAGGGATAATAGCAACTCCAGAGAGAAACCCCCTCCTATATCTAATCTCAGATCTTTAATCATCAATGATTAACTAGGGTACATTTAGTACAAAAGATCTGGTTGCCATAGAACTCAAGCCCTAGAAAGAACTCAGCCCACATTAGTATTTCTCACTAAGAAATAAGAATTTCATTGAGTGGAAGTTTAGTGGAAGTCACTCTGATCTAATTTGAACTGCAGGAATCTCTCACCTAAATTTTTGCTCAATCTTAGACTACCTGCAGACATGCCTCCTCCCCACCTGCAAGTCTCCCCTCTGTTCCTTATTTGGAAATATTCTTAGGGCCTCCTTTTCCTCATCTCTGGCCAGTCTTATGGCCTACCTCACTTTGGCCCTCCTTGCATTCCAAGCTGGGAGATAAACAAATCTTTGGTCTATAGCCCAAGCAGGCCCGTAGCCTGCATGGGGCCCACGGGGCCCGGCCCTCCCGCTCATTTTGCGGGGCCCCTCCCTCCCGATCCTCTGCTCCCCGGGGGGCTTGGCTGGCGCAGTTGGGATCAGCAGCGACGCGCCAGCCCGCCTCTCTTCGCCCCCCCCCCCAGTCAGCCACGCTGAGGCGCAGGAGGTGGCAGAAGAGTGGCCGGAGCGCGGCAAGGGGAGAGTCCGAAGGCGCCTGCTCGCTCGCCCGGTCCCGGCTTTAAAGGAGCCAAAAAAAAAAAGAATGCCATGTATGCTGTCCATTAAGAGTTTGTATCATGTGCCCAATCACATTCTACACAGAACACACTAAGTATGCTACTTAGTCTATTTAAAAATATTGTTCATGAAAAGCTAGGAAACTGAAGCTGAGAGAGAGGCTTTTGATTCCCTGCTGCAACTAAGTAATAACTTCATATTTATTGCACAATGCAAGATTTAAAGGGCCCTCCAACTGATCAGCAGGCCACATGCTCCTTGTCGATCAGCTGGAGGGCCCTTTAAATCTTGCAGGAGGGGAGGGAGAGGGGCCCATGCACCCTCCGCTTCTTCTCAAAAGCATTTAAAGAAACCCTTTACATGCTTTTGGGATGAAGCAAAGGGCCTTTAAGAAAGGGGGCTGGCCAAAGAAGGAGGGCAGAGCCCCCAATAGCCCCACCATCGCTACAGGCGTGTTTCCAATGCTTTGACGGTTGGTACTTTGCAAAGTTTGGGAACAACTGACTTCCCTCTTCCTGCCTGGCTGCTATCAGGAGAGAGAGAAACTTTTTTAAATTAATGTGGGAGTTCTGTCAAGTCCAAACCCCAAAATAAAATGCATTTCTCCATGCACAGAAAAATAAGAATTTTACCTAGGGAACCAGAAGTGAAGTGTATAAACACAAATAAAACTATGGTTTTACAGCATACTTATATTCTTTCTATAGCAAAAATGAATCCATTACAACTACAAACTTTTGCTTAAAAAATATTTATCAGTGTATCTAACTCTGTGTAGAGCTGGATACTAGAAAGAAAAGTGGCCAGCCATATTGCTAGCATTATTTAGTGTGTTTCTAAGAAATATTTATCTTTCACAAATATTTAAACATATGCTATGCACAGTTTAGTTTCATTTATCTGAGTGGTCTGTGGGCACTGAACAAAATTTTTGAGTAATGAAGAATTCAAATAAGTAGGAGTGATTTTTCAATGGTGTTACTGTCAGCACTAACTGAGACAAACATAGTAAAATCTGATGACCTGGTATTTCAGATTTTAAAAGTACAGAAAATGGTTTTGTTTGTGTCTGTGACTCTGGATAGTGATAGAGTACGTGACAATTGCTGGAATTTGTCCACCTGGCTATCCTCCTTTCTATGAGAACTAATATTTGGATTTCAGAAATAGTATCTGGATTCTTGAATTAACGTTCCTGTACCTTCCAAGGAAGAGAGGGTGTTAATGTTTAAGAACAGCTGCTCCGTAATGGCAGAGCTTGCAGTCAGCACAGTTGTCCCTAATGAAAGAATTCAAGCAGAGCTGATATATAGTAGGGCTTTTTTGTATGCTAGCTTTGGGGCAAAGGCTTAATTAATTGATTACTCTACTAGGTACCCCTGACCAAATTGGGAGATAAAGCACATCTAAATATAGAAAGTTTTCTTACAGCAGTGATGATGGTGCTCCAGAGCATTTGGCGCTGACACCAGAGATGCTTAAAAACTGCTTATAGGTTAAAATGAAAGCAGAGACCCAGTTTATAATCTACCACCTATCTTTTCTTTTTTCTTGTTAAAAACAAGTTGCCAATAGTAATAAAAGTGAGATCAAAATCAATAATGTGTATTTCAAAGCGGAAGCCTAGCTCAGCAATCGTTTAGAATGGATCAAAATTAGAAAGTAGGTCACTGAATGTGTAACCATGAAGCTCAGGGGTTGATGAACAAGTGTACAATAATAAACTATTTGGCTGTGTTTTCTAAGGTGGCACTTGTACGTCTGAGGCTGACTTTGCCCTTCTTTTTTAAAACCATTTTACAGGAGCAATACTTGCCTGTGGTTCTTCACCTCTCAAACTGGGTAGCATAAATTTATAAAGAATTTATAAGAAATTCAAACTTACTGCCTACTGACAACATTTAGGACAACAACATTCCACTTAAAAGGCTGGGGTCTTTTTTTTTCTTTTACGAGACACTGGGGATAGTCACAGCTAATGGTAGGATATTGAGCAAAGTGGACAAAGTTTTGCCTAGGAATAAGTGAACCAGAAAAATTCTGGTTCTTTTGGGATTCTCCAGTTTGCAAATATCTTGGCTCCATCTGTTTCTTATCTCCTTTCTTAAAATTCAACCATGATGTACTCTTCTACAGTAGCATGATATTTGATTCATGTTTGTTTTTGACATTTTAGAGGGTTTTTTAAATCAACTGAAATACATACATGTCTTTTTTAGTCAACGGAATTACATTCTTAATTGAATTACATTATTAATATCCCATTTCTCCAAGGATACTGTTTAGTGGAGAAAATGGGTTGCTCAGGATTACCTATTGTCTAAATATCTCCCCCAATGGCAAACTAAAAGAGGGAATTTCAGTCCTTCCTTTGGGAATTAAGCTCCAGCTGCCAGTGGCTATTGTTTCTGTCATGCGCTTCTCACTTTCCCTCTTGTCCCTTTTTATTCTGTACCCTTTCAAAATGGAAAATGGAATAAAAACATCATTATTTTTTTAAAAAATGCAAAGGAAGTGCCTCCCCTCCCCACCTGTCTTGCCAACTAAGAAAAAAACCAGGTTCTCTAGCAGGCAGTCAAAAATCAGGCTGGACTAAAACAACCTTCAGTGAAGGAGCTGGAGCTGGGTAGAAGAAGCTGGTAACAGGCATGTTAAATAGTGGGTTTAACACAGCAGAGGTGAAGGCAGAGTGATTACAACAAGCGGCAGTGTACTGCATCTCAACAGGAATGCTTAAATGCAGCAACTGCCCTAACTATATACACCTAAGCCACTCCCAGCCCCCATGCAATTGGTGAGCTGCAGAAGCTGAACAGGGTGGCCCACTTGAGGCCGGCATCAGTGATTTTGTTTGCCTTGAGGAAGAACTCAAGGTGGTCAGCATAGGTGTCCCATAGTTCTGGGGACGCAGGGTCAAATTCTTCGTGGTGGCCTTGAGAGGCCATGCTTCTTCGTCTGCGAAGCGGCTTGTAGAAGCTCGCAGTGGTGCTCTTCATCCAGGGTGATGGTTCCCTGAAGGTTATTCGGTTTCTTTGACCTCTAGCCATGCTAGAAAGATCCCATTCTCGTCGCCAGAGTTAAGTAGTAGGTTTAACATGGCAGAGGTGAAGGCAGAGTGATTTCAACAAGCATAAGTTTATTGCATCTCAACAGGAATGCTTTACATGGGGCAACTGCCCTAACTATATACACCTAAGCCACTCCCAGCCCTGATGCAATTGGTGAGTTCTAATGGCTTCCAGGCTCCAGATTGGCTGGCTGCCCTCAGGGGCCAATCCGCAGGCAGGTTCCAGGATCCTGCCTGCCTTTGTTCTGGGGCTTCAAGCTCCCACTAGGTGGCCTGTCCAGACATAACAAGGACTACCATGAGCTAGGTTGGAGAGCTGTTGAACCAGCAAAGGCTTGAGCTCAGCAAGACTTATATAGAGAGCTGATAATTGCATCTGTTCCTGTAGAAAGAGTTGGGCTTTGCATCCTAAAAACACCTAGAGAGTGGTGCTCTCCTCCTGCATGGCACTGGAGTGTGGGATGCCTTGAACTGCCAGGCATGCACTTCTTCACCTGGTCCAGATTTTGGCTCAGATTCTTTGCCTTTTTGGTCCTGGGAGAGACTGTGGCAGTGCTGTAGGTGGATGAGTCCATTCAGGAGCTTTCTGGTCTGCTTGTCCCATTAGCTCATGAACAGGAGCTTGCTGTGGATGGAGGAAGCAGGAGGTCTTCCTTGAAGGCCTTGGGGTGCAGGGAATCTTGGGTATAGTGGGGACCATGGGGGGGCTCTCCCTCCCTTGAGGAGTTTTCCTCCCAAGTCAAGGTTGGGCCAGGGCAGGTCCTTATACCACCCATCATGAAAGTTTATTCACTATGTCATTTTTTTCCTCTTTTTTTAGAAATCAACCTCAACTGCACAACAGCTGATGTTGGTACTGTCTTTTACTTTCATGTTGGTAACATCTTGAGTGAATGTCATTTCTCAGGCAGGCACCAAAGATTGCAAATGGATCAGTGCAAAACTGCAAGTGGAGACTCTGTTTATGGGTTATTGGCAGAAAAGACCTCTCCCTTTAACCAAAATTAGAATAATCGAATCAGAACTCAACAAAACTCAGGTTAATTTATGTTTCAATGCAATTGTATGTAAATAAATGTCATTGGTCATTGCCACTCATAAAAAGTCTGCACTAAACATAATCTTTGCTAAGAATCAGCTATCCAATGCACCAATCCATGGTACATAGCACAAAACAGTTTAGAATAATCTAGTTTTAAAATATTATTATGGAGTACAAGGTAAGCAATTATGGAGTAAGGTAAACAAAACCAGATGATTACATTTAACTTACCATAAGTAGCCCCATCATCATATCTCAAATGTGTTGAAACTTAAAAGTGTTAGAAATTAAGACAACAGTTAAAGGAACCAGCTGCTAGTACCTTTTTTAAGACCCATGTAAATGACATCATAAAGAAGGATATGCATCTTGAAAAAAATCAGTATTTTCTAAATCTGGATATCAGGGAGCTGAAAAATATCAGTATTCCCGGACTTCCAGGTTCCAAATACTACTTTACTATTTGGATCCCCCCCACCCCCACGAGGGATTCTGATAATATTCAGCTTCATTATTCCATATGCAGAATGTTTCCGGAGGACTGGAGAGGCTGTTTTTTTACCAAATTGCATCAAAATTTCAGCAGAGCTGCTGGTGCTGGTCCTTTAAATAACCCCAAATTGCAAGTTAATTGGCTCAAGAGGTCCAATTCTATGGGTATTTGCTTACTGGGAGAGGGGATTCCATGCTTTCTCCTGGGCAAAGAATAGCCAGAGACAAAAAAGAAAGAAAGCAACCCTTGGCCAAAAGCCTCTCAAATCAGACAGAACCAACAAGCCCTCCCCCCACCCGCAAAATCAGAACGAGGGAATACCAGTAGAACTGCAGGACAATGTGACAAGCCTAATGCAACAACAACAACAACAACAACAACAATAATAATAATAACAATAATAATAATAATAATAATAATAATAATATACTTTATTGTCATTGTACACAGTACAACGAAATTAAAGGTGCAATCATTTCAGTGATCTACAGCCATACACATATACACTCACACAACCATTCACAACCATCCCATAACTCCCTTAAGGTTCACATTGCAACCTAAACCACCAATGTCACCCAAATTCCAACTTCATGCAGCATTTAAAGCAATAATAGCTCTCGAATAAAAACTATTTTTTAATCTGTTTGTCCTTGTTTTAATTGTCCTATATCTTCTACCCGAAGGCAGCAGTTCAAACAGGGAGTGTTCAGGGTGTGACAAATCCTGCAATAAATGTATCACCTGAAAATCCAACCCAATGTCAAAACAGAGAATCATCCAAAACAAATAGGAAAGCTGGTGCGAACCCATCAAATGTAAAATTAGAGAATATGTGCCAACTAGGAGGGAAGCCCGTTGTAAGGAGAAGACAATGGGTGCTAGAAAGACAGGGGGCCCCGTCCCGCACTTTCTCCCCCCCCCCCGCAAATCCCGGGGTCGGTGGACGGCGACTGGCTTCCTGGGCGGCCGCAGCCGGGGGCCTCTGGGCTGCCTCGATGGCCATGCGTCCCAGTGGCATACCAGCCCCCTTCCATGTGCAGGCTGTCCGCCAGCGTGCCTCAGCAGACTAGTACAGCCACGGTGGCAGCAGGCCCGGGCTTGTCACGACGAACCCGCGGCTGGTGAAGGGGCTGGGTCACCCATCACATCGGATCAAAGTGAGGCCCTTCCGCCCGCTTCCCCCCTCCCTCTTCAGACCCCATGGCTGTGCTGCATGCGGCGGCCTCCGGGCCGGCTTAACGGGTCTTCGGCCGGGCGGTGCACCAGCCCCCGCCTGCTTGCAGCCTGGTCGCCGATGTGGCTTGGGCCTCAGTGGCCCACGACGGCTGTGCCGGCAGCAGCAGGAGCAGGCTTGGGCCAACGACCTCGTGAGTGGTGAAGGGGCCGGAGCGTCCGTTGCATCAGGGGAAAGTGAGGCCCATCCCCCCTCTCTCTCCGCCCTCCCCATACTGCTGAGCCCTGTTGCATCCAGCGGCCTCTGGGCCGTCTCGACGGCTCTTCGTCCTAGCGGTGCGCCAGCTCTCCGTCTGCTCGCAGGCTGGTTGAGTCGGCCGGGGGTGATGACGATCGGCGTGGGGGTGAGAGGAAGGGGCTCAGCCAAGCATCTGGACCGCGCATTCCATCCAGCAACTCTGTGCATACTGAGGGCAAGCTGGTGGCCGGGGCTTGTGTGGGCGGGACCCCGACGCAGCCAGCCAATGCAGGCAGCACCTTTGGAATGGCAGTTCAGGCGGCCAACTGATTTCGGCATGAATAGAACTTTGGCACCCCAAATCACTTTTATTAATAAGGAGAGATGTACAACCCAAGAATCAAACACAATGTTGAATCCAAGAATCCACTGCAAAATGCAAACCTGACACAAACCAACTAGGACAAAGACTATAATGTTACCAGACCAAAAAATCTGATTGCTCAGAGCAGACTGTCACTCAATGATCTCTGGCTTGCTAAAGAATTAACCCTTCACATTCCTGTAGCTTTATATACCGCACTTTTAAGCCTCTTAAAAAGTGCAATCCATCACAGCACCCCTGTCCATAAAGACAGGAACTGAACAGAATTTTCTTATCAGTTCTGAAAAGCAAAATAACTGTGTCCACAAATACTTGCATCTTACCTTTTGTGTGAGCTCACTAGCTTCATTGATATAGCGGTCTCTCTCCTTTTCCAGCTGAAAGATAATCTTTCTCTGTTTCTGAGCCTCATCCTTAAAATTTTGAATTTCCTCTTCCAGATTCTTCTTCGATTGTTCATGGAGTTTCACAAGGTTCATCTGCTTCTGAGTGACACTGGCAGCTTTCAGCAAGTTCTGCAAGCACAAAGTTAAGGTGGTCGCAGTACACATTCTGTAAGTATTCTGATATTTATTTTTTTTATTGAAAAGGAGATGCGTTAGCCTGGATGGGAGTGGAAGAACTTCCACGGGAGGGCAGGGACACTGCTTAACCCTTTTCTGCTCCAAAGGCTTTTCTACTCCAACTTTCTCTGCAAGTCAAAAAATGCCTGGGGATAATATGAGTAGGAAGTGGCCAGAAAGGGTTATGCAACAATTCCACCCACTGTATGCCCATTCACAACTGTGGCCTTTATAGCTGTTTTTATTTTATAAACCATTCAACAGATTATTATATGCAATTCCTCTGTAACATCTAGTTTGACCAACATTTCCTAAGCAGTTGGCACTGACACACTGCACTTTGTCACATTTAGAAAATATTCACTTCCAAGTAGGGGTGTGCATTCGGCATAAGCCAAACACAGATCAGAGAATCTGATCAGCTACTGGTATAGCTGAGCCCAAATAAAAGCTGGATTTTTTGGCTTTTTTCAGATATATTCAGCTATACCTTTTTAAGTATTTCAGTCTTGCCCAGGGAAGCTCAAAGGGTGTGGAGGCAATGAGCAAGGCCCAGGTGTTTTGAGGCAAGGCAGAGAATAGAGGAGAACAGGGCAGAGCTTAACTAAAGGGCCAGGTGTGAAGCTGGAGCTATAAGGAGGGAGAATGGGGAAGTGGGAGGAGGCTGGCAGGAAAAGAAGGCACAAGTAGGAGGCAGGTTGCAGCATCATGGCTCTCTTGCTATGTAATGCAGTATACCCCTGAGGTGGGTGAAGTAAACCATACCTTCGGGGGTCTGAATTGATAAATAAAGCAAACTGCATAAGGAAACAGTGAGTGAGCTCATGTTCTCAAGACTCCAGGTATGACGTTCCCCGTCTCCAGAGGGCACTACACTCACCTTGTTCAAGATATCCCTTTCTCTCACAAGTTCATCTATAGCTTTTTTATCAATTTCTCCTTGCCTTTTTGCTGCTTCCAACTCTAAAACACAAGAAAAATTTAAATTCAAGACACTATGGGGTTTTAAAAACTCATTTAATTGCACAAGTCATGATGACCCCTTTTTAGAAACGTTATATTTGAAGTGTAATAGCTACGTAACGGAGAAACTGTTGGGCAAGCTTATTTAATTTTATGTAAAGCATTTCTATGCAACCCCCTTGATCCAACACAGGGTCTTTAGTGAACATTAAAACATGTCAAACGTTAAGACATTTCAAACATTAAAAACAGCATGCATTATTATATGTAATAATGAAACAAAACACATTTTAACACACAATCAGGAAGGAGGGTTATTAAGAGTTAGTGGGGGAACACCAAAAAAACTCCCCAAAAGTCTTCACCCACTGGTAGAAGACAATGGTAGAGGGAGACAGACAAATCTCTGTGGGAGGAAGTTCCAAGGGTTCAGTGCCAAGATCTCATGTTGTTACTGTCTAGCCTCAGAAGGCATGGACACTCAAAGTTGTGTGTGAACTCTGGGATTATTTTTCAACCCATCGAGACTGGAAACAGAAAGTTATGTGTTTATAATTATAAAACCCTCATTAGGAGTTTCAGTCAACATATTTGACATTTACAACTCAGACATTTAAACTTCAGCTCAGCCATTATTATTAAATACTTCTACTGTTCTTGCTTCATCATAGAGCTCAACTGAAGCCTTTCAAAAGAGTCCTGCATGCAGGAGAACTTGACCATAGCCACATATTTATAGCTGCTCTTGTAAAGTTGATGCATTTTTTTCTCAGTTCAGAGAGCAGCTGCCAAGTCAGGATCCTTGTTAGTTTACATGCACTATTTTCTGATGAAATTTTATAACCACTACCATATTCTGCAAAAGTGTCCACGTTCTCAGAAGCTAGAAGGTTCTGTCAATAAGGCCTTTTCCAGATTTGTAAAGTGAATTTTTCCCACTAAGTTTAATGTAGATATGTATGTAGATATGTGGAAAATACATCCCTTGGGGATGTGCTGAGCAGAATTTTACAGATAGATGTCCGCAATATCTAATCTACATTAGCAGGGCACACCAGATTGTTAATTTACAAGTGCCCCAGAGGTCTGCTAGCAGCCAGGAACAAGCCAAGCCCCACTGACACCGGTGGGGTCACCAGAGTTAGACCAGCCAGATGACGGGCATCAGCTTTCCCATTGCCTCCCCCTAAAAAAGCGAGCCATAATGGGCAAGCTGCTGCCTATTGCTATCACTGCAACTTGGTTCCTAGTCAGTTTGAACTTCCAAATCTGCTCTTAAAAAAAAAAATTTAAACACCCAGGGTTGTCCCACTAAGAAAATGTAGAACTTATATATTCCTATAACATGTAAAATACCCTAGGACATATAGTGAACATTTGTTTATTTTTAGTGTTCATTTATATGTCCCCATTTCTGCCCCCCCCCCTTGCCATAAAGTCACAGCTGGTTTATGGTGACCCCACAGTGTTTTCAAGGCAAGAGATGCTCAGAGGTGGTTTGCCATTGCCCGCCTCTGCGTAGTGACCCTGGTATTCTTTGGTGGTCTCCCATCCAAATCCTAACCAGGGCCCACCCTGCTTAGCTTCTGAGATCTGATGAAATCAGGCTAGCCTGGACTATCCAGGTCAGGAGCATCTAAAGTAGTTAATACTAAAAAAGCAAATCAAGTAACATAATGTTAAACACACTAGAACGATCAGTTCCTAAAATAGAGATTCAAGACACAGCACAAGCAATTAAACTACCACCAGTTTAAGGAGCAATAAATAAAACACCATTCAAAAGTACTCTGAGATTTTTTTAAAAAGTTTTTAACCTGCTCCAGAACTCCTGAAGATGGAGTGAGTCTCACTTTCTCAGGAGAGAGTTCTGTAGCATGAAAGCAGCTTCTGGAAAGGCCCTCCTACAGGTCTCCAAAAAGCTAACTTCAGATAAGGCAGATGTCTATAGGAAGGCCACACCTCTCAGTCTCAAGGCTTGGACCAATTGATATGGGGGGGAGAATCCTTCAGATATTTTGGACCCTCACAATTTAGGACTTTAAAGTCAAAAACAGCACTTCAAATTGAAGCTAAAAAGAAACTGAAAGCCAAAGCAGTTAGAGGAGCACGGGCTATATTTGTTCTTTGCAGTGAATTCCTATTAGAACTGTATTTTGGACTGGCTAAAATGTCTCAACTGTCTTCAAGGGCAGCCCCAAGTACAGCAAATTTCAGTAGTCTACTCTGGATGTTACTTAGGCATATATGATAGTGGCCAGGTCTACTTCCTTCAGGAATATTCACAGCTTCCCCTAGAAATGCCTTCTGAAATCTGCCCTTCAAGAAAGCTTTAAACAAACACAGGTCGATATTAACTAAACCTATTCCTTTCAGGAGTTCCACATCATGGTCAATTGTACTGACTGTCACAGAGATGTTCAAGAAGGGGGGGAAAACCCTGCTGTTCATTCAATAAAATGTTTAGGCCATTGTTCTGAGTTTGACTCTTACCTTTCTCCAGCCCATTGATCTGATTTTTAAGGGTGTCTCTTTCACATTCCGCCTGCGTTTTATGTTCCTCCACAACACGTAGTTTTCGCTGCATAAGCTCTCTTGTTTTGGAAAGCTTTGAAATTTCTTGGCGCATCTGAGACACCTCATCTTCTCTTGCCTATGTAAGACAAGCAATGGAGATGCAACAGTCATTACAGAATTTATCAGCACCTAGCCTCTCTGCTACTTATATAACTTGTGTTAGGACAAATAGTACAATTACATTAATAACTGTTGTCATTTCCAATGAAAGACAAGTTACAAGAACTACACAGATAGCGCAATTATAAGAACATTTTCCTGGGAGTAATCACCAACAAACAGATCTGAGTAAACCTGCTTAGGGTTGTTCTTGTTCTTCGTCCTATCTCCAGTGTATCTCATGTCTATCTTTGAGTTCATGGGCTTCTTACTACCAAGGAAATATTTGGTACTACAGCTAGCCAACTATCTTCCTGAAGAAGGACGAACTATAGCTACTCTCTACCATCTGAATAGGAGCTGCGGTGGCTCAAGTGGTTAAGATGCTGAACTGCAGGCTGTGGAAGGTCAGTAGTTCAGCAGTTCAAGACCCGGGTGCCGCAAGACGGAGTGAGCTCCCGTCTCTAGTTCCAGCTCCTGCCAACCTAGCAGTTCGCAAGCAAGAAATTGCAAGTAGATAAATAGGGAACACTTCGGTGGGAAGGTAACAGCATTCCGTGTGCCTTGGTGTTTAGTCATGCCAGCCACATGACCACGGAAACGTCTTCGGACAGCGCTGGCTCTTCGGCTTTGAAACGGAGATGAGCACCGCAACCCTAGAGTCGGATTTGACTGGCTTTCGAGCAAGGGAACCTTTACCTTTTTACCATCTGAATGACTTCTGTCTTCCCATGAGAAAAGGCTACTGAGTTTTCCTCATGTAAATTAGAGGCTGCACCTCTCGTCTATTCTGCCACTTGTTCTGTTTTCAGTTTTCCTTCACTTAGGAGACTAGGTTGTACTTTACTAAAGCTCAATACACTATTGGTTTTCTGTCCGGTTCTTTAACATAAGCCATGTAGTAACCAAAGTGAAATGGGAATGTTAAATCACAGCTATCTTTTCAGCATGTGTGCATGCATATGTCTTTTCATGCAAATGCACCTCATGTGTACGAGCACTCTTGAATTTTAAAAGCAGTAGAAAGCAAGGAAGAAGATGGCAAAACACATATTCCTCAAAAATAACAGATGTCAATTATGCTGTCGTTTCCTCTGCTTCTGTGAGAGTCATGGGAAGATGGCTAGGTAAGCTGTAAGGGCAAGGCACAAGAGCAGGCAGCAAAGAGGAGTGAGCAGAGAAGTAGAGGGGGAAGACAAAACTTTCCTCACAATTCATGGTGCCACTAGCTGGAACAAAGATATGATAATGAAGAAGAGCAACAGTGGCCGGAAAATGCGGGGGGGAAGTGTGGCTGTTTGCCCCGGGGCTAAATAATGCGCGGTTGCGTGATCCAAGGTCCCATGGAGGTCCCAAGGTTAGGAGGGAGGTGCTGATCACACCACAGGCAAAGAAACGGGGCGGCGCGGCAAACGGGTTTGTGTTTGTTTTGTTTAAACTGAAGTGTGTGCATGCTCCGTTGGGTGCTTGTGCGCATCCCGTGGAGACTTAATAAAAACCTCCCGTGAGCCCCCCTTCCCCACCCCCTCAGCCGTTCCTTCAGCCCCCTGTCCCCCAAACCACCCCTCAACCCCCACTCCTCCCCCTTCTTTGATCTGCTCCGTCCTTCTGCCCTTCTCCCCTGACCCAAATCTCACTTAGGGCCCCCCCCCTTTCCTGTGTTGCGTTTCATCTGGCTGCTCTCCTCTTCTCTGCACGACTCAAGTCTTAGCGAGCTGCTCAGTTGTGTAGTTTTGTTTTTTAAACTACAGTTTGTGCATGCTCCGTTGGGTGCTTGTGCGCATCCGTGGAGACTTGGGGGGAAAAAACCTTTTTGCTAGGGGACATGGGCAGGCGCCGGAACTACCACCAAAAACGCTATCAGACGCCGGTCCTTGCCCCGCGGTTTCTGGAAACTAGTACCTCTGAGGTACTAGTTTTTTACCGCGCGTTTTCCGCGGGAAGCCTTGGGTGAGCCACGGGAGCTCTACGCTTCCCAGATGTGGCTGTGAGATCGCGCCCAGAAAATCCGCCTATCTTCCATCCCTGTAGCATGGCTAATGCTCCATGTGACCACAGCCTGTGTTGGTCTTTTGCCACAAAATTACAAAGGGTCCTGTGATACTTGGAAGACTAATGCATGAGTTTTCATAGGCTAAAAATAGCCTCTTGCTTATGAAAACTTTTGCTACCATCCAGTTTGTTAGTCTTCAATGTAGTACAATATTGTTTTTTTCACACTATATTCAGTATACCCAACGGGACATAGTTGGTTTTATACTATGTTGTAATAACATCTTTTCTAACTGTAATCTTCTGATCTGTTTTTTGTAATCTTGACAGCCTGTAGCTCTGGAATTAAATTCTTGTTTTACACCAGATCACCAGATCCTGATTTATTTATTTTTGCATGTACCTAGTAAATTGTGTTCATTGTGATAACCAGCAGCATTCCTTGAAAGAGAATTATTTATCCAAAAATGACTTCCTCCACTTAGGAGACTAGGTCGTACTTTACTAAACCTCAATACACTATTGGTTTTTTGTCCTGTTCTTTAACATAGGCCATATAATAGCCAAGGGCCCCGTTCACACGGAGAAGTTGCTAGGCTGAAGACACGGATGATAGGTGGATTTTCCGGGCGCGATCACACCACAACATCTGGGAAGCGTAGTGCACCCGTGGCTAACCTGTGGCTTGTTGCCAAAGATGTGGAGTAAAAAACCACCACATATGATGTACTAGTTACTGGAAAACATGGGGCAAGGGCGGGCATCTGATCGCATTTCCACTGGAAACCCGTGGCATCTGGCGCCCGCCCATGTCCCGTTGCAAACCGGATGTGTGTTTTTTTAAGTCTCCACAGGATGCGCACAAACGATCATGCACATGCACAAACTTCAGTGAGACAAAAAAAATCGTGTTTGCCACGGAAGCAGCGCGGTGCGATTGCCAGTGTGATCGTGCCGTGCTGCTTCTTTGCTACGCTGCAGACTAGCCGTGTGATCAGCACCTAACGGCCTAACCACGGGACCTTGACAGGACGTCTGATCGGGCTGCCACGCATTACTTTGTTACGGGGCTAACAGCCACGCTTCCCCCCTGCATTTTCTGGCCCATGTGACCGGGCCAAAGATATCCTCTTACCTTGAGAAGATTAGATGCCACAGATGAACACTGGTAATATCTTAGGGTTATTTATTTATTTATATTCTGCCTTTCTCACAGGGACTCAAGGCAGATTACTCATAGTGACTCAGTACAATCAACAAAATTGGGACAGTCAATAAACATTGCATTAAGATTGTAGCAGTCTGGAACCAACCAGAAAGAACTGAAGCATAGTGTAAATATTAACATAACATATTAAGCAGTCCAAAAATTATATAATAGGATCCGAAATACAGTAAGCTATACACAGCAGTACAGACCACAGTCACTGATCATTTATCCAAGTTTGTAAAGAAATTTGTGCAGTGGAACCCTATTACTTGTGAAAAGAGACCATCTTGAAAAGTTCAGTTTTGCATAGTTTGCAGAAGCCCAGGAGAATGGAAGCCTTCCTGACCTCCTTGGGCAGGTCATTCCAGAATATGGAAACCACAACAGAGAAAGCACATGTATGAGTAGTTGTTCATTTTGTCCATTTACAGGTTGGCATCTGCAGAAGGCCCTGCTCAGATAAGTGAAGTTGTCGTGGTGGAGCACAGGGGTAGAGTGACCAAAGCCATGAAACAAAGTTTGAGTCCAGGGGCATTGTATGTGATAGCCAATACTTTAAATTGAGCCCAGTAACAGATGGGCTGCCAGTGGAGTGTCTGCAGAATGGGAATAATATGCATGTTCCATATAGCTCCTGATAATAGTCAAGTTGAGCACTCTGCACCAGCTGGAGTTTCCAAGTAGATTTTAAGGAATGCCAATGTACAGTGCATTACAATAGTCTTGTCTTGAAGATACAGTGGCATGGATCCAGATGGCCAGATCAGCCATGTCAAAGTAAGGGGTCATCTTACAGGCTGGGCTGAGTTGGTTTGAGTCCAATCCATGAGGAAGGATTTGAACCAGTTTTAGGCGCATCCTCAGATACCTACTTCTGCCTCCAAGCATCTCAACAAGATGTTATGATCTACTATATCAAAGACTGCATATAAAACCAATAAGAGCAACAGAGAGGCATGGCCTCTGTCTGTACTCTGTCCCTTTGTCTGCCCTGAAGCCAGACTGAAAAGGGTCTAGAGCGAATGAGCTATGGAAAGAGAACCTTTCTGTAGAGCAGAAAATATATGAACACATTCCATACATATAAAATTGAAATGCCTGTTGTGAGCTCTCCTAATCAAGTTGCATTGGTTGATCCCTTTCCAATTCACATCTCCAGCTTTGATTTAGCAAGACATTTCATAATTTAGTTTGAGTTATTCCAAAAATCATATAAAGTAAGATTATACCAGTAAGATATAACAGATGCATCACAGCATTAGTCTAAATACATACTCACAATGCAATCCACACTGCAGTGGGAAATGTCATCAAGTCACAACTGGCTATCCCATAGGGTTTTCAAGGCAAGAGACAAACAGAAGTGGTTTGCCATTGCCTGCTTCTGTGTAGCAGCCCTGGTATTCCTGAGAGATCCCCCATCCAACTACCAATCAGGGCCGATCCTACTTGGCTTCCAAGATCTGACAAGATCAGGCCAGCCAGGTAAGGGCAGTTACACCCTTTTAAATTCATTGAAGTCAATGGGCTTAGAAGGGTGTAACTATGCTTAAAGGGACTGCAGTGTCACACACTCAAGTGACTGATGTTCAAAAAAGTCAGATTTTCAGATATGTAAACGTACAGAAATCACATTATGTACCATGTTACTTCTGAATTGGGATTATTAATCACAGAAAGGTATCCTTGGACTTACTCTCAGCTCTGTGGTTTTCTGCTGGTTCTCCTGCATGAGTTGTTCAATGGCCAAGCTGTGCTGTTCATTGTCTTGCTGCAGTTTAGCATTTCTCACTGTAAACTGTTCCAGTTCTTTTGTGGCTCTTTCATTCAGGATCTGTAAGATTGTGATACAAACTCAATAAATTTGTTTACAATCTGATTACTGTGCTCAAATAACCTCGTATTACTTCAAGCTTCTCCAGATTTCAAAAACGAAGAGAACATTTTCACATTTCATTTTATCATTTTTATCATTAATTAAATTAGTAATACACTGAGAACTGTGATAAATGTTTAGCAGTTGGGGGGAGGGGTGACAAATTGTAATGAGCAACACAGTGTATTTTTTCTTCCTGGTATCTTTGCAAGATACCCCCCAGGTGGCAGATAAATATTTTAATTCCTGCTTGCCATTTGGCAGCTTTAGTGTATAACAACACATATTGTTGTTACACACTAAAATATGTTTCATCAGTAGTAGCAAAATGAGGCTCAATATGTTAATAAACAAATGCTAAATTAATTAAAGGGATGGACCTCCGAGTGGTAGTGCAATTGTTTTGCATGCAGATACTCAGATTTCGTCTCCACCATATTCAGTTAAAAACATTTCTAAGACCCAAATATCCGGGCCAGCCAAAGCAGACAACACTGGGCTATATAGACCAACAGTGTGATGATGTGAGGGATCAATGAACAGGAGAGGGGTCTCTCAGATCTCACTGTGGGCTTCAGGATCTGGTTTCCACTGAAAGTCCTCACTGTGGGAGAGGACTTCTCAGCAGGACCACGTTGCACTACCCACAGAACCATTCCCTCTGTCCATCCTTCTCCCTGAGCTGCTACCTCTTAAAACTTCAGAAGCAAACAGCCATCCATATCCTCCTCAGCTGCCTGAGCCCTCTTTACAGAAGCTTCCCTGGAGCCACCTGGGCTCAGAACCCCACCCAGGCTCACAAGGGGGCCCGTTCCTGTAAGGTTACCATGGCCCCTTCCTGCCCCTAAGGGGAAACACTGCTGACCTGGCTGGTGTAGGGATGCCAGTCCCCAGGTGGGGGTGGGGGAATCCCAATTTTCGGGTCTCCCCCCAGACGTCGGCCAGCTGGCTGGCAGGGGGAAGCCCCACCCTAACAGTCCTCGGCGGCCCCATGCCTTGCCTTCCAAACCGCAAATTCATGGCCAGTTTGGTGTATAGGTTAGGAGTGCAGACTCTTATCTGGGAGAACTGGGTTTGATTCCTCACTCCTCCACATGCAGCTGCTGATGTGACCTTAGGTCAGTTACAAGTTATTTCAGAGCTGTTCTCTCATGAGCAGTTCTCGAAAGACCTCTCTCAGCCCCACCTACCTCACAGGGTGTTTGTTGTGGGGAGGGGAAGGGAAAGGAGATTGTAAACCACTCTGATAGTGAAAGGCGGGGTATAAATCCAATCTCTTCTGGGTCCACCTACTCCTGCCCTGCAAGCCTCAAATTCATGGCTTGCAGGGCAAGCACATGTGGCACCCACTCTTTCCCCAACCATTTAAAGGGAAGATTCCCTTTAAATAGTTGGGGGAAAGTAGGGGGGGTGCACGTGGCGCTGTGTCCCCGACACGATTATGTCACTTTACATGATGCCATCATGTCACGGATGGCCCCTTCCCTTCCCGGAATGCCCCCCTCAATCCCCCCACCAGGGAGAAGATAGGACCTGGCAACCCTATGCTGGTGTCAGCCATGCCATCCCCAGCTTCCTCTCCCAAGAAGCGCCACTGCTACTGCTGGGCCCAGGGCAAGGCCCATCCTAGCAGCTGGCTCTGTGCCTGCTCAGGGAGGTCCAAAGATATGGTGGGACTCCTTTGGTCCATCCACTACTACAGCATTGGGGGGGGGGGCCCTGCAAGCCGAAGCCTCTAACTCGGAGTGGGCATCTCAGGGGATTCAGCTGGATGAGGTGAAATTTGGGGACACTGGGGCAGCCCTCAGGCAGATGACATTAAGCAGCTTCATATGTTCCATATGCGTTTAGTAATTTCTTGTGTGCATAATTTTCTGATGCTAGACCAAGCAGCATCAAGCATTTTAATAGAGCAAACTTCAGGCCAATTCACGCATTATGAAGTCCTCATGTCTCCTGCATGTTTGCTCAACAGCCAAGAACTGGGAGCTCTGTGCTAAGAACTTAATTCTCAAGAACATACAAGCCAGATCTGGATGAGGACCACAGAATGTGGGAAGAAGGGGTTTAAGCCTTTCACCGGTATCGTTTTCCTGACCTGAAACAGCTCCAAGGAACCATTATTTGACCAGCTGTGGAAGTACAGCATCTCCTCATGGCCATTCCAGGTCAGGAAAAAAGCACTGAGAGAAGGCTCTTTCTCTCTCCATGCATGGTGGTCCTCATCCAAATCCAGCCTGCACACTCCTGGGAATTGAGTTCTGAACACAGAACTCCCAAACCATGTCTGGTAACCCCCAGAAAATTGGAGGGGCAGAGACTTACCCAAATGGTGTCTCCCAATGCCATTACTTCCAGTCATATAACCAGAAGGGATGCTCAAGCATTTCCCCAATATTGTTAAAAACCATGGAGTTTTATAGAAATCCTAAAGCAACCCATGACATGGTGTTGTCACTTCCAGTTACATGACTGGAAGTGACATCACAACATCACAAGATGCTGTTTTGGCCCCCACCTTTTCCCCCATCACACACCCCCCATCAAGTGGCAGCAAGGGACCACAGCCAAAGGCCTCCCTTAGTAGTCATGTGGGGGATGAAAGGGCTTTATAACATGTAAACGACCCTTAGTGCCATTTTGGTGGCTGCACAGTATTTCTTTGTAAGAGGTGGCTCACAGTTTACATCCTTGCAGTGGGGAAAAACTCTGTCTCTACAGAAAGGCAAGATTTTCTTCTAGCCCTGTGTAAACAATGAATTTGTGTTTGATTTTACTGAAACTTTCCACTGAATTAACAACTGTTACAGACTTCTACTCACATCCACTCTGGGACTGGGAGGGAGAAAAGGACCATAAATTTGCATGACACATGCAACTCCTAAAGAGTTTTGCTCTAGGAAAAACTGTTCCACAATTACCAAACCGTGTTTGCTGTTTGCTAAAATTACTTCTCTGAGGGCTATGCAGCATGAGAGGAAATGGCCTGAAAAAATAAACTAGTTTCAGAGGACCATTTTAAAGCCAGGCCACAAAAACGCTCCAAAATGGTATTTTCCCTTAAAAAATACTTTGCACACCAGCAGCAACTGCTAACAGCAGCAACAGAATTCTGTTAGGTAACTTCAAAAGGAAGCATGACAGGTATGCAAGTATTATTGCCATGTTTTACTATTTATCTGCCTTCAATATTTCAGTGACGCATGAGCAATGGTAAATAAAAATGCTAGTTTAAAAAAAGCAAACTACAGTGATACAGAAAGTGATGTATCACATGCCTGTACTATAATGAAAAAACCATGAGCGACAAATAAGCTTTTGCTGACTCATGTGGTACCAGCCCACACCAAACCAGTCTTGCACATGCTGCTGCCTCACAGGCTGCATTCAGACAGAATATGCTGCTGGGCCGCCACTGTAAATGTGGTATTGATGCTCACAGATGCTCACAAGGCAACCAGCTCAGCACAAGTTGACTTTCTTCCCATAGCTACTATGTGCTGCAAACGTTTCTGTAAACAGGCTGTAAGAATGAACATCCCCAAGTCATCTGTGCAGGAATTGCAGGCACAAGCCCACAAAATTCTTCAGTGCAAAGGCAGTGAACCATTTAGTATTCTACCAAGGCAACTACTGACCCACGCCCATTCTGTGTGGGCTGTCACCTCAGATAGATAGTCCTGGATATACTTATCCAGGGAAGGCTTAAGTATCAGGAACTGCCACTGGATTCAAATAAGGAACTGCTAGGTCCAAACCAGAAACTCTACCTAAGGGGCCACTGGAGAATTTTGCAAACCAGGGACTAGCCCCATCCCTAGAATCTTCCCTTGTAATGTTCTTGTAGTTGTTCCTAGGCAACTCAGGAAAAGGCCTCATTATAGGATTCCCCTTTGATACCTCTGGCGTTCATCTCTGATATTTCATATCTTCTGATGCCTGATTTACATTTCTCCTGCTTCTCAGCCCTCTCTTTTTGGTGCCTAATGCTTCCCAGATTTTCCCCCCATTATTTTCTTTAAGAAAGGTGAGATACAAAAAGGAAGAAAGAGTAGGGGAGGAAATATAGATTCATCAAGTTTGTAATGTATTATTTGTTGTTATGGAGATGCTGTACTCCCACAGCTGGTCAAATAATGGTTCCTTTGAGCTGTTTCAGGTCAGGAAAACGATACTGGTGAAGGGCTTAAACCCCTTCTTCCCACATTCTGTGGTCCTCATCCAGATCTGGCTTGTATGTTCTTGAGAATTAAGTTCTTAGCACAGAGCTCCCAGTTCTTGGCTGTTGAGCAGACATGCAGGAGACATGAGGACATGTAAGATCAGATATATGACCGAATGTATTACATATTTTAAAATATAGAAACAGACAATAAAACATCAATATTACAGAATTTTGGGACAGATTCTTGCTATAAAAAATAAACAAGAACTTTCCTAAAGTTAGTGATAATCTATTAACGATGAAAGAGATTTAACAACAATGAATTTCTTTGCTAAAATTAAATCATTGTAGAAACCTTAATATTGTCTTAATTCTTTATCTAAATCTAATTTTTTTCTTACTAATTATTTAATTACTAGTGGAATATAAAATAAAGTATAAAGTGCTTCCCAGATTTGAACATTAGATGACTCACCCCATCCAGGGATGTCAATTCTTGGTTCCTTCACCTCCATCTGTGCCCTGGAGAAGCTACCATCACTGATACCAAAATAATCCTTCCCCAGCTAGGAAAGCCCAGCCTTAAATAGTATTGCTCTGATGGAAAATGCCACTGAGACATCCTCTGCTCCCCTGGAGATAAACTTCCATAAATACTGCTTACAGGGAAATTCAGAGTTTCCTTGCTTCTGCAGGCTTGCTGCTGTGGCAGCAATGACTGCTAGCATCTGGCTCCCAGGTGAAAGGTAAAGGCAAAGGGAGAGATGGACAGTCTTTATCTACTGTGAATTATTGTACTAATATGTGTCCCAGCCTACCCCTTTCAGGGTGAGGCAGAGTGTGAAGATTTCACAGGTACTTTAGACAGTAATCTAAAGGCCGATAATCAGCAAGTATGTTTTCATTCATAGTTCAAGGGTGTGCTATCTTACCATAAAGTTTTAGAAGGGATTCTAAGTTGACTTCAACATGAGAATGGGCCAGAGGTGACTTGTTCTGCAGAAAGCCAGTGTTGTGTAGTGATTACAGTGTTGGACTAAGACCAAGGGCACTCAGGTTTGTATCCTCACCTGCCCTCAAATTTCCTAGGTGACCTTGGGGCAGTCTTTCTCTCTCAACCTAACCTACTTCACAGATTGCTGTAAAGATAAAATGTGAAGAACCACCCTAAGCTCTTTGGAGGAAGGGTGAGATTTTTAAAAATATGATAAATGAATACTACTTGACAGGGGAAATGTCTGCATTGGAAAGCCAGTGGTTTCCTCCAGTATTTTAATTCTATTATGAACACAGTAAAGAAGAGCCTTCCCTGCTGTATTCCTAAACCTAATCTCAGTCTTGTTTGTGAGTATTCCTGAGATGGTTTGACAGAATACCCTCCTATACCTTCTGCTCTTTGAGTTGCTGTTCAAGCTTCATGAGTTCCTCCTTGTTTTTATGCATCCCCTGCTGCATTGTTTTCAATTCAGCCATTTTATTGTCCAAATCAAGGTGAAGCTGTTTCAGTTCCCTCTCCATTTTTTCTTTCTTCCGGGACTCACGGGAAGCCTCATTCTGACGCAACTGGATTTCCTGACTGAGCTGCAGCAGTGACAAAAAGGGAAATATCAATATTTTGTCCATATTTTAGGGAAATAAGTACAGTATATACTTACTGATTCCTAACTGTGACACTGTATAGTTTTGTACCATCTGAAAAAGGCTTCTGGAAAATGGCCATCTGTCAGGCAACATTCAAGCACCAGTACAAAAAGATGTAAGATGAGACTATGGTGGTTCAGCAAAGGATCTGCTAAAGAAATTTTGCTTGAATGGGGAAGTAAATGGAGAAGTGGTTTGATGAATCAAGAGAGGCAAACTGTTTCCAAGGCTGAAGAAAGAACCTGACAATAAATAATGAGTGAGAAAGAGTGAAATTATCAAAGTAATAGGTGATAGGCAGAACTAGTCTTTAGATCATTAAACTCCAATGTAGTCTGCAGAACTCAGCTAGCATATGAAAAAGTAAATTAACTGTACACAATGCAAAAAGAGCTGCTTAAAGCATAATTTTTCTCAAGCTGCATCCATCTGATGATGATTCTTTGTGTTGCTTTCAATGCTGCTGGAAATACAGTATCCACATAATTAGCTGAGCAGAGATTTCCTGTCCCTTTCCAGCCATCTAGCGGCTCTCCCTTCCCATTCCTTTACAGGCAACAGGAACCAAAACTGCCTGCACCTTTCCCCTTATATCTTTGTACTATAAAGGCTTGGGGATTCAATTCAGAGGAACTAGGGGATTGTGGCAATAGATTCTGGCACAGTGAGGAAAATGGCTTGTGTGAGTGGCTGACAGCAGAAAAATGGTGCCATTGTGGGCAGAAGCTTAAAGAATGTGCAATTTTCTGTCTACATATTATTTCAAAAAAGCACATAGCAAAGGTTTGAGAAAGATCAGAGATAAGCTGGGGAAAATCAGGAAAATGGTCAATCGGAGGATGATGTGTGGATGCTCAAAAAAACCCACCACCACCACAGCCAGTTTGGAAGCAAAGGTGGAGTAAATGAAGTATCATGTCAATGAAGTATCAATCAGCAACCAAAGCAACAATGGTAGCAGGGAATGAACATTAAAACCTAAGGCACACTGAAATGGCCAAGTGCACACCTGTACAGTACGACACTACTAAGATAGCTGTAGAGACTGCAATGGCAATGGACTTGAAATAAAGCAAAAGCTTAGTTCTGCAAAGAAGAATTACCACTCTGGCTCAGTAAGTAAATTTGGCAGACAGGAAAGGGCCCAGAGATTACATGCAAGCCATTCTGAACGAGAGATATCAAAGATCAATGGAAGAGATGAAAGCACTGATGATGCCCTGTCACTGATGACTTCTTGCTGAGCTGCCTGAAAAAGGTTTGGAAAGTGAAATAGCAGGTGGCAGCTAATAGAGGTGAATCGCAAAGGTGGAGAAGCCTTCCCAACAAAGACAATGATGACAGCAACCCAGGTAGTGGCACACACCTGTGTAATGGTGGAGTCTGCCTCAATTTTTGTCCTTTCTGCCTCTGTCTGTTGGTCTGTCATATTTGTTACATTTTCTCGTAACTTTACAACCTCTGACAAAAGCTGGTCTCGCTCCTTGGTTACTTCCTCCTTAAATCTTAGCAGTTCCCGCATGCTGGAAGAAAAGAGATCCGAGTCAGCTATGTCACAGCCTACTTGGCATTCTCAGTAAAATATGCTTGTGGGGAATGGGAGTTCGAAGAGAACTGTTTGGCATTGAACTCCCCTTCCATTAAGCCCACAAAAGCTGTCAATTAACTTATACATCTGTTACATTTATTAAAAACACCCCCTTGTGATGAAAATATAACTGCTAGCATTATAAATAATAAACAAGTAGTTTTTAATTCAGATTAAAAAACAGTCATCCCCTCACAGGGAAAAAGATAATCATCACCGCTCTCTAACAGGCATGCCCTGAAACATGCATGTTGTTTGAATGCCCCATTCCTCCTACTCTTGTAGTTTATTCAAGTCATTGCATGTGAATAGGTCAGTTTACCTACTCTGGTGACATAAGGCTATTATCTCATATACAAGTGATGATTCATTATCTGGAGGATATACAGACAAAAGAGAATTGCCACTGAAATCACTGTGACATTCAAGTAGATTGTGTGGTTGTGTGGTATTTAAACATAAGAATAGCAGTAATAGCAAGAGCTAATGTAGAAGCCCTGACAGCCACTCGATAGCATCCATGGCAACTCTGCCACCACTTAATAACAAAGCTGCGTAACAGCAAGGTCTAATGCTACCTGTTCATGGAAGCACCACTCAATACATGGCACCCTTCGTTGCACAAGCCACATGGCATACAGGACAGAAGGACAACAATAAACAGCTGCAGCCACACACCATAGACCTGCCTGTGGACGGGAGTTTGAATCGCCTTGCAGCTTATACAGCATCAGTCTGCTAATAGCCAACTTTTTCACAGAACTAAACAGGAAGAAAAGACTGGCATTTTAGCCAGTCAGCCTAGAGCTGGGATTCCCAATCTCGAAGTGGGACTGGAGTTCTTTGGGAATTAATTACACATGGTCTCCAGACTACTGACATTAGTTCCCCTGGATGAAATGGCAGTTTCAGAGAATGGACAGTATCACATCATATCCCTGCTGAGCACCCCCCCTCTCCCCAAAACCCACCTTCCCCAGGCACTTCCCTCAATCTCCAGGAATTTTCCAAGCCAGTGATGGCAACCCTGCCAGTAAACCCAGTAAGCAGTATGTCTGCATGGAGAATCTATACCTACACCTCAAGAGACTGGTGTAAAAATAGACCCAGAAAAATAAGTCTATGGGGAGTCTTGTACAGAGCTGTAGCAAAAGGTCATACAGGGTGTGGTCAGACATGCTATTTGCTCCATTGTCAGTGCTGGAGCCCCATGGATTTAAAGTGCACATTCAGACATCCACATCTGTATTCTGTTCCACAGTCATCAGCCTCCCGTACTCACCACTCTCCTGGCATGTTCTTTTCAGAAGCTGGGAAAGTCCGAGGTTTACAGATTTCCAGCACAGTTCCAAATGTCTGGACTTTCCCCCATGCAATCAAGCCACTATGGAAAGAAACCATCCCTTCCATTTTGGCACTATTTCCCCTCCCACTTAGCAATACGCCATAACCGCATAAATGCCCCTGGGCTTTAAATCAACGTCTATGCGCTTCTGCTCTGCAGTACCTTTTGGGGCTTTGGAGCCCCCGGGAGAGTGGTTGCCAATGGGAAACTCAAGGAACACTACCCTTCTCTTGTTTCTGGGGGTTGGACAGCTTTGAAAATAGTCCCTAATCAGGCTTGCATTTGGGGAGTTGTTTTCCTCATTTGGAACTAGAGTCAAAGTCACATGACAGTGTTCCTCCAGCAGGATGGTCTGGACGGTCACCCATGAGGTGAGCGCGCAGAGAAGCAGGTAATGGGAGAAAGTCTGAACGCTTCTCTTTGGAACACAAAAAACCTGATGAAATTAGAGGCGTGGTCAGAGCTCGGAAAGCACGCCATCTGACCCACCCCACAGACTAGAAAACACAGATGGGAGTGGACAATAAAAAAGAATAAGTGAAATTAGCAAGATGCAGAGACAACATATAAATGCACCCAGTTTAAGACACTGAATTAAAATAGTACTGGAAACAATTAAGACTCCAAATGGGCTATAGTCACACACACTCCTGTGGCCTATCAGAAGGGTCTGACAAGAATCTGAACCACATACAGTTCCCATCTTGGTTGCTTACATAAAGTTCAAGCCTGTGCCAAATATATTGTTGTAAATAGTAAAATGGCCTAACCTTTACTGAATGTATCTGTTTACAGATGAGGACATTTAGCTATAAGCATCTTAATACTGAAATAACGCTTTAGATATGCAATAAATACTTAGACTCTCAAAGTGCAAATACACAGTTTTCACAGATAAATTTCAAATTTATGTGTAGATTTTGTAAATGATTATTTCCATCATTTTTAACAAGCATACTATCAACAAGAACACTCCCCCACAACTCACTTGTGTTCTTGGCCTAGCGATAATCCGGATCCTTGTTCCACTAATTTAGTCAAGTTCACAATTTCCTCTTTAAGGGACAGAATGGTGTCTTTTGCTTTCTGCTCCTTCTCATAGGCTGCATCCACCATTTTCCAGGCCTTTTCAATTTCCTAAAGATGTTAGAGGGGAAAAATCATGTGATACTTGATTTAAATATGAACAATAAGATACCTTGTATCAATTGAATGAATGAAAGTTTTCCACTTTTATTTCATGCTTCTGTTTCTAACACTGTCCTAACCCAGCGGCCAGTTCTGTGTGGCCAGTGACTGTTAAGTATTGTGAGTATCTAGGAGTGTGGAAACTTATTTATAGCATTTTACAGTTCAAAGTATTTAAAATTATATAAAATCTTGGTTAAAACATGCTGGAATTACGCATAGTCAAAAAGTCGCCTCATTATTACTGCCAAACTTCATGTGTTAATGAATTTCAAAATATTTTAGCATTCCCATTTATTTGCTGCTCTCTCTACAAAATATTGATTTTAAAGAGCTGCATTCTTTTGTTCAGTTTACATGAGATTTTGTATCTACGACTTCGCAGTGGTGAACTTTATTTTTGAGTGTGTCCACGCATGAGACTAAGATTTATCACATCCTGGAAAACTCTAACTTTCTATAGTTCTCCAGGATGTGATAAACTTCCCACCTGGAATGGAAGCTCATTCAGGGGAAAATTCATTACAGACTTCATATCAAGAAATCAATGTGAGAACTGAGTTATTTTGTGCACTGATAACTCATTTATGAATATCAGCTTTGTTCTACCTTCATACTTAGTGAAGCATATAATACATTATGTTATTGTTTTATGTATGTTGGAAGGGATGGATTGTGCAATGTGGCTTAATGCTAGCACAGACATCAGAGTCTCAGTGGAGGGCAGTAGAGAGTCAGTAAAGAGCTAGATAGGGTACTTCCTGACCTTTCCTTTGTTCACTCCTGCATCTGCCCCTCTGTTACTCAGAATGCTATTCTTAGGGTTTCCTTCCAGTCACTTCCCTTCTCTCTCCCTTTGTCCACCATGAGGGCTGGACATGCTATCTACAGTCTCTTTCCATCCTAACTTAGATAACTAGAAGCATTTATTCTGCCTTTCCTATCTAGTATGGAGTATTCGTACAATAAAGAACTTATTTCTTTTCTAAGTAACAAGCCTCACTATGAACGTACTCCACAAACAGCCAGACTATAAAATTCTACACCACTTTCAGTGTAGGGTTACCAGCTCTCCCCCCCCCCCCCCGGGCAATGATCAGGGGAGCGGGGTGCAAACTTACCAGTCCCTTGGCCCACAATATACTGGCATTGCTGGCAATGAACTGACATCACTTCCATAGTCAAAGGTGATGTCAACAAGTCCCCAGAGTCCCCCAGGGATGCCACTGATGCTACCTTTGGCCTCAGATGACATCAGTGAGTCAGGAAGCTGCTGACTCCCCCTGATTTTCCCACCATTTCCCCCACACTGGCCAGCTGAGCAAAGGCAGGGAACAGTGGCTGAGAGTGGAAGATTCCCCCACCCCCATGGGGGGGAGGGGCTGGCAGTCCTATTTCATTGCAAGTATTGGCTTGCATCCTATGTCTTGCTCTTATTCACTTGCTCTTAGTCCATCCACTGCACAGCATTTTCCTTTCGCATGAAGTACTTTTTAGCTCATGAAAAGATGCTTCTAGGGGCAGAAGAATGCATCCCACAGTGGACACCTGCACTACACAACACAGCACAAATGGAAGTAAGGCTTACGAACCATGCCATTACATTTAATCTGATTATTAAAAATCATCTTGAGTGTGTGTCTAGTAGGTAAGAATGATATAACTGTTCTAAACAAGTATGTAACAATATGTGAGGGGGAAACTGTGTTGCTGCTTAAGGTCTGCTGGATGCTTAAACGTTTCTTGAATCAGAATTTAATCGGCTTCTAATTGTTTTTAAGTTTTCACACATTAAGTGAAAGGCAGACACAAAACTAAAATAACTATTAAGAAATCCAGGTACAATTGCAGGACCCAAAAGTTGCTTCAGCTTTTTAAATTGAATTTGATTTCCAGGTTCCACTTGTATTCAGGCGCAAAACCACTCCTGAGTTGGTCAGGAGAAAGTTGGGCAAATACATATTTTAATTAAATAAAAAATAAACCAAATGAATGCAGAAAGAATATTTTGAAAGAATACTTCTCATCCCATGACATTACAATCCCACAGAATTTAATGGTTCCTTATTTCTAAACACCACAAATCTATAACAGACTCCTACAACACCACAGATTCCTTTATTTTTTACAATATGGTAACCCTACATGGGAAGTCTCAGTAAAATAAATGGGAGAGTTTTCATTGACCTTAAAAGTTGGCCAAATTTTTTAACCTTCAGTTTACAATTTTATTTGGATCCATCTTGTCAAAGGCATCCCAGTGGTATCACTGGAATGTTTTGGTACATTATGATTACTCAGCTCCACTGCATACTGCTCCCACTCTCATTGACACAGTCAATGAGAACTGTACACTCAGATGAAGGACAATATATTAATAGCTGGACAGGCTTTTGCTTAAATGGGACTTTCTCATTGACTTTGACCAAAGTACAACTATGCACAATGTTATTTAAGTGTTCTGTTGATGTTTGTTCTAATTCAAACGGACAAACAAGGTAGCTTCTTCCTGAAACAGGATAAAAGGACGAAGTGTTACCATCATGGTAACCTTATTTAAAAATTTGTGACTCATTGATGATATGAAACACAGAGATTATGAAACCTATGAAGAAGGAGGAGGAGGAGGAGATTGGGTTTATACCCTGCCCTTCACTTGGAGTCTCAGAGCAGCTTACAAACTCCCATCCCTTCCCTTCTCCACGATGCATAGTGTAACAAACAATTTCTTTCCCAAAGCAATAAGTTAGTGAAATGCCGCAAAATGTCTACCTCTGACAGGTAGCTTCTTCCTGAAACAGGATAAAAGGACAAAGTGTTACCATCATGGTAACCTTATTTAAAAATTTGTGACTCATTGATGATATGAAACACAGAGATTATGAAACCTATGAAGAAGGAGGAGGAGGAGGAGATTGGGTTTATACCCTGCCCTTCACTCAGAGCAGCTTACAAACTCCCATCCCTTCCCTTCTCCACAACAGACACCCTGTGAGGTAGGTGGGGCTGAGAGAGCTCTGTCCAGAACTGTCCTTGACAGAACTATGGCTTGCCCAAGGTCACCCAACAGCTGCAAGTGGAGGAGTGGGGAATCAAACCCAGTTCTCCCAGATTACAGTCCGTGCACTTAACCACTTCACCACTACAACAAAAATTAGGCATTAAAATAGATATGGGTTATAAAATCTGTTAGATAATTACAAGAAGAAATAGGAATTTAAATAGCCATGGTACTATCCTGGATTAAATATCCAGTTACATGACCAGCATCAAGGCCAATCCTTATCAAACTAGAATACTGTAGCTATGGATTGAGTACATATGTGCAGTTTGACATAATCCACCAGTGGTGATTTTGTTTTATCACATATCTAGCTTCTAGCAAACCCCATACTCTCCACTTGATCTCCTGACTCACTTTCAGTACCATTATGGTAGCCCAAGCATGAGTGAAGATTTGTTTCAGCGTTCTGTTCTTCAACTGCCGTATGGTTCCTCTCGCGATGCATAGTGTAACAAACAATTTCTTTCCCAAAGCAATAAGTTAGTGAAATGCAGCAACATGTCTACCTCTGACAGTATTATTTTCCACACTGAAATTCAGCACTGGATTTCAAGCACTGCCCTGTAGGCTGAAGAATCTCTATAGAAACAAGAGTTTTCTAAAAAGCATAACTAGATCATTTCATGAAAAGTATCACTGTAATGCTTAGATTGAATGTTTTTGTGGATGTCATGGACTGGGTCACCTAGTTAGAATGAAAAAAAAATTATCCATAGAAATCTTGACACTACCTACTGTGCACTATCTCTACAGTAGCCAATTGTCAAACACTCTCTGGCATTCAAGTCTTAAAGTTCAACTTTAACTGCAATTTTGTAATCAGTAGTTTGGACCACAGAAACTGCCGGGGAAGTCTATGTTATGCAACCTGGACACCATCAGAATGTTATTGGAGCACAGTTAGATCCCAGTTACCTAGATTAATTTCATTTGTTGCAGCCTGAATAAGTGGACTAGTTTCTTGGAGAAACTGGGCCTAACACTCTTTTGCCCTAACCTTGACTGTCTTGGCTTACTATATCTGTCTTGGCTTACTATATCTTGCTGAAAGAGTTCAGGAGACAGCATAGACGTAATTTACATAAGTACATATTTAACTCATATCTGAAAAGCAGGAAGGAAGGAAGGAAGGAAGGAAGGAAGGAAGGAAGGAAGGAAGGAAGGAAGGAAGGAAGGAAGGAAGGAAGGCCCCAAAGAGTTCAAAATATTCAAGTATTGTGCAAATTGTGCCATGTTGTGTTGAAAGACTTTGAAAGATTTTAGGGGTATCCATCTTTATAAGGCCTTAAAGCAATGTTTCTCTCTTGGATTCTGCATCTGAACTTGCTCTGCTTTATGGTTTCCATGTTTATCACTTGGATTCTACATCTGAACTTGCTCTACTTTATGGCTTCCAAAACTTAATTAAAAGTTCCATATTTCTGAGAATCCTTCACTTCTCTCCTTCAGCATCTGCCTGAGCAAGGAAAACAACTATCTTATAGTAAACAGTATCAATGGATTGTATCCCTTCTCCTTGGTACTTTGAAGTAAATACAGGATCTCTACGAATTAGAGCTACAAATAACAATTCTGAAAGTTAAAACAATTAAAAACAAATTAAAAAACAAAAACAAATAAAAAATTGAAATAATGTAATTGAATGTTAATGTATACTGTGACTTTTAAACAATGTCTCTATAAAAGAACACAAAAAACTGAGATCTTGCAAATCTCAGTCTATCAGTTATGTATTTATTATGTAATGTCCATTTACCCTTTTCAATGATGCTATTGTTGTCTGATCATCCTGAGAGAGCTTCAGGGCAGTAGCCACTTTAGCTGAATTGACCACAATCTCTGCGTTAAGTTCTCTGCATTTCGCCATGAGGCGCTTTTCATTCTCATAGGATTTTTTCATAACTGCATGGAGCTTCTCATATTCCACACGAAATTTTTCCAAGCTTTGATCTCCTGTAAGCTCATTGATGACTTCTTGGAAGTCTTTTTCCAAGGCTTCAAAGGCATTTTCTTCTATTGTAGGCTTGTCATACCTTTCCTGGATGAAAGGAGCAGAAGAATTTATCAGACAGTCACCAAAGACATATTGATAAAGATAATGACATATACCAAGATACAGGCATAATAGCTCCAAGGAAGCGTCTTTCATGAAAATAGTCATTATGGCAATTCTATTTTAAATACAATTCCTTTTTAAAGAGGCAGGTTTTTTACACCTGTTCAGCCCATCCATAAAGTCCGACCATTAAAAAAATGTCTAGTTATCAAGTACATCCTAAAATTCCAACATGTTTATATCACCACAGTTGCTATCCGTCCTTTATATTATTCCTAAAGCGGCAAAGTAAATTATGTTTTCACATGAGCAGTTAAATATCTGGCCAGCCTTAAAGAACTATCGACATGGCTAATTCTGCAGTTCCAAGAAGCCCAAAGACTTGGCAGGTCATAATGCATTCCTGGCTGGCATAAGTCTAATAAAACTTGTAAACAGCTGTACTGGCCCATGCAGGATCCAGAACTAGAGGGGGAAAGTCAATTACCTTTTATTAGGGCCAACCAAAATGACACAAAACATTGTGCAAGCTTTCAAGCTCATCAGAACTCTTCATCAGGCTAGATGATACAAAAAAAATTTACAAGGAGGAAAAAGGGGTGAGTTCTAGATTTTGTGTGGGACAGTATAACTATCTGACAAGCCTGGAATATTTTTGTTCTACACTTCTCTCCACCTTCTCTAAAATAGCAGGATGCTAAGCATCAGTTGGTGGCCCAGTAGCCTGATAAAATTGATCTTAAATCCTTAAGTCCTGCTTATCTAGGAAGCAAATGCAAGTTTACCCATATCTACTCCCAACCAGTGTTCCCTCTAAGCTGAGTTAGTGTGAGCTAGCTCACAGTTTTTTAGCCTCCATCTCTCACATTTTTGTCTTAGCTCAGGATGGAGGGCTCCATAGCAAACTAATTTATGCAGGGACCAAATTGCTTGCTCTCACAACTTGAATGCCAGGAGCTCACAAAGTAGAATTTTTTCTCACAAGACTCCACAGCTTAGAGGGAGCACTGCTCCCAACCTCACTCATTTAACAAATAACAGAAAGCTCAATTAAATTCACTGAAGAATTGTAGAATACTTTATTTCCTAAGCCTATGGAGTATCCATGGTATCATGGTCTCCAGCCTAACAGCTAGGATTGCCAAGTACCCCCTGGCCACTGGCAGGAGATGGGGGGATAGGGTTGCCAGATCAAGGCTGGGAAACTCCTGGAAATTTGAAGTTGGATCCTGGGGAGGACAATGCCATAGTCCACCCCCAAAGCATCTCTGTAGTCTGGAGATCCTCAGGTCCCACCTGGAGGGTGGCATCCCTACTAACAACTCATATATCCAATTCCAACCAGATGGACTAGAGATAATTTACTTCAAAGATATAATGGTGGAAACTGTACACACACTTATGAGGGGGAAAGTCCCAGGGTAATCAATGAGACTTGGTTCTGAAAACATGGCTACAGTTGGTACTTAGTTGACAAATACTGCTTGTTATTTGACTGTGGGCAAATATTGTGGAAGATTCCATGAAGTCTCTCCTTTTTACTTCATTGTGATGCCATTTACTGTACAATGGCCCCGGTCACACGAGCCGGATATCGCGGGAGGGGGGAGGCGTGGCTAATTGCCCCGGGGGAAACTAACGCGCGGCTGCCTGAGCACACGTCCCAGTCGAGGTCCCATGCTCCGGGGGAAATGCCGATCAGACAGGTATCCTGCGGCGTGGCACAGAAGCCGCGCCACGTGATTGCACTAGCAATTGCTCTTTGTATGCATGCGCTGTTGGGCACTGTTGCACAACCTGCGGAGATGAACAGCAGCGGGCGCCGGATACCACGTGAGTCCACCGGGAACGCGATCAGACGCCCGCCCTTGGCCCGCGGTTTCAGGAAACTAGTACCTCATAGGTACTAGTTTTTATCTCCGCACCTTCGGCAGGGAGCCACGGGTTTGCCACGGGAGCACTGCGCTTCCCAGATGTTGGGGTGAGATTGCGCCAGGACGCGGCAACTTTGCCGTGTGACCGGGGCCAAACAATACCAAGAGTGACAGCTACTTAATCCTTTAACACTCAGGAGTAGCCCTAGCAGCAAGCTTCTCCTGTTGTCTGCCTATCATAACCTGCAGGAACTTCCAAGCTGGAAGGAAATGCCACTGATGTTTGTTATGTTAACAGATGCTTCTATTTTATTTCTAGTTTAATATTTTTTTTAATTGAAACTTCAGGCTAATCCTGATGTCCCAGGATAAAAGCCAGAGGGGAATGATTCAGTGAATGGTTCATCTTTATAGAAAATGTACCTAATATTAACAATAATCTGATAGTCATTACATTTTTAAAAATATAAAGTTCATTGGCTTGGATCCAAATTAATGTTTTCCATCTCCCCTCTCTCAGAGTAGCTGAAATGCTCTCCAAAACCCTCTCCCTATCCCCCACGAACAGGAGTTCAGGGGGCATTCCAGGCTGCTGCGGGATGCAGAAAAACCATGCTCCACAGGCAGAAGTTGCAGCCAGTGAACCATTAGTCTGGATCCAACTCATTGTTTCAGAATAACAGTTGACTACTTTTGTAATTAGAGTAAGTATCAAAACTGATGATGAACCAAGTATCTTTTTGTTGTTCCAATTAAATTAATGTTTAAAAACATTTGACTAATATTTGACAAAATTTGACCAGTCAATTGACAAATGATTTTTGACTAATCAAACAGGCAACCCAAGCATAGCTAGGACTGGGCTACACTGCATTAACCATTTAGCCATTGCACTTCCAACACTGATTTAGATCAGGTAGACAAAAGGTAGCCTCTCTGACCCTTTTGTCTCATGAGATTTTCATACAGAACAATACAATAATGGCAGTATGGTATTCACATGGCTCAGAAACCAGAAGGTACCACCATCATTCCATTGGAGCTTCCTTCCACTGGATGGTTTCTGGACTACATAATGGACTATATTCCATTAACTATTATATATTTGTAAACAAATGTTTCACTGCTTAATAAATCTAAATTAAGATCCTGAACTGTGTATACATTGGCTATCTTTCAACCTGCACTATCTAGAATGTGGTTCCTTGAATAAAGGATTCTTATTACTTTGAAACTGACAAGTGGCTCCCCTCAAGGTTGGCAAAATATTCTAAGACCTCGACAAATATCTGTTGGAAATGTCGGCAGAATATTGGTACATATTTCCACATGTGGTGGACATGTACTAAAGCTAGTGAGTATTGGAAAAGGATTGGAAAGATGTTAGAAGATGTTTTGGAAGTAGCGATACCATTAAAACCTGAAATCTTCCTATTAAATATTGTACTGGAAATAGGTGGGAAAGAAGGAAAGAGTTTGTTGTTACATTGTATAACAGCTGCTAGAATGTGTTATGCCAAATATTGGAAAACGGAGAAAATCCCAGATAAATTAGAAGTGGTTCAGAAGTGGTTCGAAGTTGCTGAAATGGATAAGCTATCGAATTTACTAAACAGGAAAGATGAAGAAATATATAATAAGAAATGGAGAAAATTGCTTAAATGGAAAATAAAGCGAACGGGTTAGGAGGAGATCAGATACTTACTAAGAGGAATCAATATGGCTGTATGCTCATCTATGTGAATATGTATTGACACTTTATGCTATGTTATGTTGGGTGTGGGTTATGGGATAAAACTAATAAAAAATATTTAAAAAAAAACAAGTGGCTCCATGTAACTCTGTAATTTTGCTAGCACACAGTAATCAGAAGCTACTGCTGCATGTAGCCTAGTTCACTCTGCTACATATAGAGATTCCTGGCTGTACCAAGCCAGTGAATCTAACAGGATAAATATATGGAGCAGAGGTATATCAGTGGGTATTAGCCAGAAGGTATTGATGGAACACTATGTCTGGGGCAGTGATGCTCTGTGTTCTTGGTGCCTGGGGGGCCACAGGGGGAGGGCTTCTGGAGTTCTGGCCTCACTGGTGGACCTCCTGATGACACCTGGTATTTTTGGCCACTGTGTAATACAGAGCATTGGACTGGATGGTCCATTGGCCTGATCCAATATTGGCTTCTCTTATGTTCTTATACATGCAAGTGTATGCAATTCGTAATTGCTATGGGGGGGGGGGGATGAAAACCAGTCCTATGATTCATGGTAAATGGCCCTTGATGCTGAACCAGATACATAATACAATTTGCTCCATGAACAATTTCTGATTAAGTTTGCTCTTTGAGAATGTAGGCCCAGCATATCAGATGGCTAGCCTATTTCAGGATGGGTGGAGAATTTTAAAATATCCCAAGAAGGAGTTTTACAGCTGAAAGGCTTTTCCATAGCTGGTAGCTAAATCCGTCCTCTTATAATTTAAAGCCACTGCTCCCACTCTATTCCTTCTCAATGTTCTATTAGAATATTGTATGGAATTAGATCAAAAGCCCTTTTGAACCTGGGGAAGGGGGAATTACATTAGTCTTGTCTACCAACATAGTTGTTAACTTCCCCAAAAAACTAGATTGGTCTGCAATAAAAAGTGTGCTTAATAAAGCCTTCCTGACCACTAATCATCATCCCATTTTCCTCTGTGTTCTTAACAAATTGATTGTGTTATTCTTTCAACTAATATCTTTCCAAGTATAGGTCAATATATCACTCTTATACAATTACACCACCATCAGATTCTACAACCAACAATACAATACCTTACAATAAAGCCATTTATATTCATAATGGCTTAAAATGTAATGCTGTTCTCTACACATGACAAACTGCTTGCTGACAGAAAAATATGAGTGAAATTAAACTGAGGTAAAAATGTTTTGTGGGCTAAGGAGAATAGTGTGGCTGCCTCTACTTTATTCTGCCATTTTGAGTTCATGCCAGACTCAGTTATTTAGTCCATAAAAGCTTGGTTTATTGTCCCCAGGTTTGCCCAGAGTATTAAGAAACACAGGCTGAAAACATTTCAATTAATAAAGGACAAAGCTAAGGGGAAAAGCAACCGCTAGATGAAGGGCTAGAAGGACTATTCGCAGCATGATACAGAGGGAAACTGAATTAGAAATCACACACCAAAAAATACGTTCTCTGAAACAAATTCCAGTAGACAGAGCCAACAACC